TCCACAAGTCACTACTCTGGCATCCTGTACTCCACAAGTCACTACTCTGCCATCCTGTACTCCACAAGTCACTACTCTGCCATCCTGTACTCACACAAGTCACTACTCTGCCATCCTGTACTCCACAAGTCACTACTCTGCCATCCTGTACTCCACAAGTCACTACTCTGCCATCCTGTACTCCACAAGTCACTACTCTGCCATCCTGTACTCCACAAGTCACTACTCTGCCATCCTGTACTCCACAAGTCACTACCCTGCCATCCTGTACTCCACAAGTCACTACCCTGCCATCCAATACTCCACAAGTCACTACCCTGCCATCCACTACTCCACAAGTCACTACTCTGCCATCCAGTACTCCACAAGTCACTACCCTGCCATCCACTACTCCACAAGTCACTACCCTGCCATCCAATACTCCACAAGTCACTACCCTGCCATCCAGTACTCCACAAGTCACTACTCTGCCATCCAGTACTCCACAAGTCACTACCCTGCCATCCACTACTCCACAAGTCACTACGCTGCTATCTACTACTCCACAAGTCACTACCCTGCCATCTACTACTCCACAAGTCACAACCCTGCCATCCACCACTACACAAGCACTATTCAACCATCAACCACTCCACAATTCACTATATCATCCAGTACTCCACAAACCCCTACCAGTTACTAATCTACTAGCCCTTGCTTACCACCACCCTATCAACATCTACTAACCATTACCCTACTAGCAATATCCACATTACAGTAACATACGTCACGCATCCTGACGTATCCGGAGATCCGATGCTTATTTCTCGAAAACTTACATCTTTCACTTCGGCCTTGTGGGGATTTTTCATGGCGAGACGTCAAATACTTACACGGAGATCATGCTCTGAGTAGCCTGGACTTCTCTGACGTGATAGACAGGAATATCAGCGGAAGCCGTCTGTAAACTGTCACTTGATTCATTCTCTCTGACGCGGGAGTCCGCCACAGATAACGAATGGACAGGAAACTGAGTCAGTGTATTGTAACACGTGTTCAGGTTATTCACGAATTAGCCACACTTGAGAAAGGAGCCGTAGTAGTGTAGTAATAGTATTAGTAGTAAGTTTAGTAGTATAGTAGTATTAGCAGCAACAGTAGTAGTAATAGTAGTAGTAATAGTAGTAGTAGTAATAGTAGTAGTAGTAATAGTAGTAGTAGTAATAGTAGTAGTAGTAACAGTAGTAGCAGTAGTGGTAGTAGTAGTAATAGTACACAAGAGCAGAACAGACGAACACTGTATGGGATCTTCAAGGTCACACCAGGCAAGACTAATGCTAGAATAATGAGAGTAATTTACATAGCAAAGTAGTGGTGGGTATGTCAGAGTGTAACACTTGTTCCCAAGGAATCAGAAAAGGCAATATTCCAACTTGCCCAAGCTAGGAAAGAAAGGGAACTAAACGGAAAGACGGAAGGCAGGAAAGACCAAGAAAATGCAGATGATAGGTCAAGAAGAAAAGAGAGGAGGCAAAGATCAGGTCGAGTCAATAGTGTTCTGAAGAGTGAAATATTTGACAGAGTATTGAGAAACAAAGACAGGACTAAGATTCATATTAGGAAATTGATGTATCTGGGCTGATTCGTCAAAATGGCATATTTACAACCTAGGAGAAAGGTATACAGTTAACAGAATGACTGTTTAAAAGACAGTAGTGATCTCTGATATGACAGTAAAGAATATTGTTGGGGACGCCTCTTAAAGTCTGTCAGAAAAAGGAATGACCAGCTTCACCGAAGTCCTAGAGGAATAACAGTATCAGGAAACGAAGTAGAAGCCAACGGAAGGCCTTGCTCAGATGACCAAAACCTCCAGCTGCTGGTCATCATATGACTAAGACCAGCGTCAGGTAACATAAGTCCTGTTTCCTGACGAACCTAACCTTACCTAACCTAACACAGGAAACATCAGTGACGGGAGAAGTTTAAACAAGATTACTACGAAGAGAATTAATCTGATGAGAAACGAGCCAAATATGGAGAAGATTTCGAAGACAGAGAAGCCAAGAAACAAAACATCTCGCATGAGAAGTGAGATGTTTCGGTCCAGAAAGGTTCGAAACATCGTAATTTTCTTGAGTTTTATTGTTTATTCCAGTCACATTAGTGTTTCACCTTTTAAATCCCTTATTTCAGGTTATGTTGATAAGAGTAATATGCTTATCGACTACAAGTCGGTCATTAAGGCTGAAATTCCCCTGTTGCAATAATAAATTTAAGCCTTAAACTGTAGAATCAATTTAATAGCTTCGTATATAAACACTTTTTTGCCTATACTGGGCCATTATTATTATTATTATTATTATTATTATTATTATTATTATTATTATTATTATTAAAAAGGAAGCGTAAACCCGTCGGGGACATACAGCACCTGGGAAGGATCGAGCCCCAACAATCACGTTGAATAACCCACACGAGTTTATCGCTTCACATCAAAAAGTGATTTAAAAACCAAAGATTATAAACACAAATCGTCCTGTTTCCCTCTATCACTCAGTTTTATTAGTGATAACTACAGTTTAATATGTTTAGGGTTTCTCAAATTATAATACACCCAGAGTCTCTATCCCTAGTGTTATTACTGTATACTCCAGGTATACTTTTCAGCTTCTAAAAAGAGATTAGAGTATCTCTTGACTGTGTAGTACAGGTAACTATTCAGCCTTAAGGAGAATCGTGTGGTTACCTGAGGTTCACCTGGAGGTTTTCCGGGATCACCCCCGCGGCCGCCGGCCATGACCAGGCCTCCCGATGGATCAGGGCCTGATCAACTAGGCTGTTACTGCTAGCCGCACGCAGTCCAACGTACGAGCCACAGCCCGGCTGATCCGGCACTGACTTTAGGTATCTGTCCAGCTCTCTCTTGAAGGCAGCCAGGGGTTTATTGGCAATTCCCCTAATGCTTGATGGGAGGCTGTTGAACAGTCTTGGGCCCCGGACACTTATGGTGTTTTCTCTTAGTGTACAATGGCGCCCCTACTTTTTATTGTGGTAGATCGGATTTAAACCCACTAATCAATCCAGGTCATGTTATCTCAGATCTAGATATGGAGTCTCGGTTTATTTTGTTAATAAAATGTATAAGAAAGTTAATTATTTATCAGTATTTGTAATTTTTTTTGACAACACCTGAAGGTGAAAAATATTTCAAGATCCTGTACTTAGGAACTTCTCAAGGAAGGTTCCTTGATGTTGGTGAGGGGCTCTTGATCTAGGGAATTGGATCTGTGCTCCAGTTCCCTGAATTGAGCCTGAATGCCTTCCATATCCCCCACATGCGCTGTATTACCCTACGGGTATAGCGCTTTCCTGTGATTAAAATAGTAAATGTTCTTAGGAAATTTATTACTACTGGTACTACTACTAGTACTATTACTACTAGTAGTAGTAGTACTACTACTACTGTTACTACTACTAGTACTACTACTACTACTGCTACTACTACTACTGTTACTACTACTACTGCTACTACTACTGTTACTACTACTAGTACTACTACTACTACTATTAGTACTATTACTACACTACTAGTACTATTATTACTACTACTACTATTACTACTACTACTGTTACTACTACTAGTACTACTACTAATATACTACTACTACTACTAGTACTTACTGCTAGGTGAACAGAGGCAGTAGGTGTAAGAAAACATGCCACAGGCCTGAACATTGTTCAGACCTGTTGAACACACAAACACACACACACACGGGACGGGGCCAGGAGCTATGTCTCGCCCCCTGCAACCGAAACATCATTTGTGAATACACAAACACACACACATACAAAGCACACAATGTTATTTACCAAACAAAAGAGAAAAATCAACAAATCCCAAACAGTAAACAACGACCCTCCTAGAGTGAGTGACGAGGCGGCTCAGATGCCTGACAGATTTCATCTTCTTACCAAGAGTAATTATATAGTGGACCACTGGCCAACTCCGTGGCTCTTTACAGCCTATCATACAATGCGATGCATCCAAAAAAAGGTTCCAGTAATTATATGTAAGTTGATTCGTTAAAGAGCTGGCTGGCTTAGACATGGGTTCAGTTGAAGCAGTTCGAATCAAATGACTTCGAGACGCTTGAAGCATTGGGGGTTCTGAACGATGCAATGTGAGGCACTGACGGAGTGATAAGAGTGGGTGGGTGGGTTGGTGAGCATGTGGGTGGGAGGGTTGGTGAGCATGTGGGTGTTTTTTGAGTGAAGGTGGGTATAAAAGGGTGCGCGATGATAGTAATACGTAAATAGTTAGCCAAAGAGTGATCAGAAGAATGTCAGGCGCCTGGACTTGAGGCTCATTCTGCAAGGTAGCTACTGTCATGCAGGCGGTGTGACGTGTGGACCTTGAATGTGTAAGCTGGTTACAGGGCGTGCCGTCCTGCCAGGGGCGTGCCTGGGTCCTGCCAGGGGCGTGCCTGGGTCCTCGCCAAGGGCGTGCTTGGGCCCTGCCAGGGGCGTGCCTGAGGCATGCTTAGGACCTCTTAATGTTGTATTCTCCTGATGAGGATCCCAGATGGGGGTCGAAATATGCAGTCTTAATGTCCATTGCTGCTTTATTGTTTACACGTGGATATTATATATATATATATTATATATATATATATATATATATATATATATATATATATATATATATATATATATATATATATAATGTGTGTGTGTGTGTATATATATCACTATAGCTCGTGAACATTACCCAGCGGTGTAAGAATCTTGTTCATCGCTGCAGACAGAAAGATGCAAGTTGATCTCATCTCAAAAGATGCCGTCATGGCGTCTTGGCACTAATGCTGGGTGCCATCACTGCCACACGTAAGGCTTACGTTGCATTCTGCACTTGACGGTTCTTTCCCTGTTACCCAGTCGTGGGTAGAAGGATTACAAATACAGTGGAAAACGTTACTGTGTGAGCTTGGGATTACAGGATGTTGCAGCATTTGAGGGAAGAGTAAAATGTCTGCGTCATCTGCGTTTTGGTAATGTTATCTGAGGCTGCGAGGGGCTGGTGCTATGCTCAGTGCAGGACCTGTGCTGGAGGGAGGAGGGTGTGGGCAAGTCTCGCTCTCTCTCACACACACACCGCTGATACACAGGTGAGGGACTTATTTCCAGTGTAGAGAACAAATAAGGCTCAATACCGTGAGTGTAACAATACACAACCCGTAAACAGGAGAGAGGAGCTTACGACTACGTTTCGGTGCGACCTGGATCATTTACAAGTCACCTTGTCTTCCACCAGTGTGACTTGTAAATAGTCCAGGTCGGACCGAACCTTGTTCATAACCTTCTCTCTCCTATATGTAAGTTATTGGTGTATTAATTTCTAGCTTGTTTCCATGTTTAAACTATCCTCACTCGAAATTAACCTAATTACTTGTCATTCCTCAGTCGACTGCATGACACTTGTGGGTTTAACGCTTTCCCTTAATTATTCTAATCCGGTTTAGATTTTGGCAGTGTGCGAAAATCAGTCTTCTTAGCCCAAGAGACGGTCATCAACCTGTCATCTGTTTACAACGTTGCTTTTCATACGTAATTCCCAACGTTTAATTCTGAACGCTCGTTGTAAATTCACACACGTCAGTTATTCCTTGAGTAGCACCGAAAATGGGCTGGGAAAATATTTTTATTAATGGGTTTGTGTTTGAAAAGGCCTGCTATTCTCCCTTCATGTTCTTGTTTTCTTTATTTAACATAGGCTCCGTTACTAGAACTATAAAAACGTGCATTTAACCGCGAGTTTATAAAAAAAAAACGGCGCCGAAAACGTCAGGCAAACGGGTTCCTTCGGAACGCCAAGAAATGTTCGCTTTGCCACGAATAAAACACAAGTGTAACACTTGAACATCTCTGTTGTGGAGACGACTTTCAAGCCATTGGTTCATCAGTGCAATACATAGAATAAACGGTGGAAGAGATGAAGAAGCAATTTGAGGCGCTCAGGCCTTGAAAGGAGAGGTTCAGTCCTTCAGTCTTGATAGGAGGGGTTCTGTCCCTCAGTCTTGATAGGAGGGTTCTGTCCCTCATCTGTAGCGCCTCAGTCTTGATAGGAGGGTTCATGTCCCTCAGTCTTGATAGGAGAGGTTCAGTCCCTCAGTCTTGATAGGAGAGGTTCAGTCCCTCAGCCTTGATAGGAGGGTTCACGCCCCTCAGCCTTGATAGGAGAGGTTAGGGTCCCTCAGTAGCGGAAATGGGTTGAATGCAAAAGTTTGTACAATAGTCCATATTGAGAATACTGTCTTACGCCTTAGTGAGGAATTCTAAGACTTAGGTCTTAGTCCTGACAGGCACCATTGTTGAAAAGGTATAAAAATATCGACAAGTTGAGGATTATGACACATGTGCAACAGTTGGGTATCTTTATTGATAAAACGTTTCGCCTACACAGTAGGCTTCTTCAGTCAGATACAAAGGGAGCAGTAGTAATGAAATAAAGATGATGTAATCAGTCCATCAACCTTGGAGAAAAAGTATTTGAGGTGGTCAGTCCTTCAGCCTGGAGAAGAATCCAGCTCCATGGTCTGGAACAAGGCGGTCAGTCCCTCAGCCTGGAGAAGAATCCAGCTCCATGGTCTGGAACGAGGTGGTCAGTCCCTCAGCCTGGAGAAGAATCCAGCTCCATGGTCTGGAACGAGGTGGTCAGTCCCTCAGCCTGGAGAAGAATCCATGCTCCTGACGTCTGGAACTGAGGGATGGAAGTTCCTAACTGAAAGAATCAGGTCATGGTCTGGAACGCAGTAGGGACGGATCCACTGCTGGAAGTAAGAAGCAGCCATTCTGGAATCCAGGCGCATTCCCGTACAGTCCTAAAGAACGGAAGATTCCTAGCTCCATGTCTGAACAGGTGGTCAGTCACGCAGCACAACGGATTGGTAAAGAATCTCATCATCCATAGAGTCTGAGAAGAGGTGGCATCCTCAGACTGGAGAGTCTACATTCACTGTGGAATCCCGTCTATAACGTCTAAGATGGAGAGTATTTAGATAGTAAAAATATGTGGAAATCTGGAAACTATGCATAGGATGGATTCATTTATAAAGTATCAGAGTGCTAAGTGTCCATTGGTAACGTCTTCAAACTTTCACTTCACTCGATAAACTAGTCTCAATACGCATAAAGAACCTGGAAGATTTCTCTCAGTAAATGACTCCATTTCCAGGCAATACTGACCTGCAGCACTAGGGACTATCCTTGGTTACAGAAGCGATCTTCTCCAGTCTACATCGCGACTACTGCTCTATCAGGCTAAGAAGGTTGGATTCAGCAGGACGAGCTGTTCCGGCCATGTACTTACTTCCAGCTAGACTGGATCCTTTTCAGCCTTACTGACTCTCTCCAGTGAGTGACTGACGTTGGTTCCAGTCCATGTTGAACTGAGACTACTTTCCAGCATAGGAAACTGCCTTGTTCAGCCATGAACGGACTTCTCCAGTGCTTGCAGTAACTGAAGTTCCATATGTTCAAGTGTCTCATGTATTAACTCTTCTCAGAGACTCTTCACTTCACTTCAGCCATGTGAGTTAGACTCTTTCTCCAGGTCAGACTTACATGCCTTTCCAGCCTGGAACTGAACTCTTCTCCAGGCTGAGGGACTGACTGCCTTGTTCCAGGCCATGAAGCTGGACTCTTCTCCAGGCTGAGGGACTGACTGCCTTGTTCCAGGCCATGGAGGTGGACTCTTCTCCAGGCTGAGGGACTGACTGCCTTGTTCCAGGCCATGGAGCTGGACTCTTCTCCAGGCTGAGGGACTGACTGCCTTGTTCCAGGCCATGGAGCTGGACTCTTCTCCAGGCTGAGGGACTGACTGCCTTGTTCCAGGCCATGAAGCTGGACTCTTCTCCAGGCTGAGGGACTGACTGCCTTGTTCCAGGCCATGAAGCTGGACTCTTCTCCAGGCTGAGGGACTGACTACCTTGTTCCAGGCCATGGAGCTGGACTCTTCTCCAGGCTGAGGGACTGACCACTTCAAATACTTTTTCTCCAAGATTGATGGACTGATTACATCATCTTTATTCCATTACTACTGCTCCCTTTGTATCTGACTGAAGAAGTCTACTGTGTAGGCGAAACGTTTTATCAATAAAGATACCCAACTGTTGTACATGTGTCTTAATCTTTAACAAACACTGTTATTTTAACTTATTGCTGAAGACCTAGTAAGAGTTAACATCTGCGGTTGAATTAAACACATGTGCAACACCTGAGTATCTTTATTGCAGAAACGTTTGTCAATATAGAGAAACGTTTCCACAATACATTCGAAGGCACCTTGAAAGATATAAATTGATAAATGAATCTCAGCACTGTTTTACAAATGGGCGTTTCTGCCTTACGAAATTACTTTTTTCACTAAAACATTTGAGTTGTAGATCATGGTTTACCTGGAGTTTACCTGGAGAGAGTTCCGGGGGTCAACGCCCCCGCGGCCCGGTCTGTGACCAGGCCTCCTTAGGTCAGTGTCCCAGGATGCGACTCACACCAGTCGACTAACACCCAGGTACCCATTTTACTGATGGGGAACATAGACAACAGGTGGAAAGAAACACCTCCAATGTTTCTACTCTGGCTGGGAATCGAACCCAGGCCCTCACCGTGTGAAGCCAGAGCGTTAACCACCAGGCCACCAGAATATGATATTGTATATTTGGACTTCGGAGGTTGCTGAAGAAAGTTGAGACACAGAATAGGAGGAGGAATTTTTTCCTAGACAGAGGCGTGGTTGACACACAGGCAACAGAGAGTTTGCATAAATTGGGATAAATCAGAGTGGGGACCCGTCACAAGCGGTGTTCCACAGGGGTCAGTACTGGGCTCCTTGTTGTTCACAATTTACAAACGACATAAGCAAGTCTGCTTATGTTGCTAGTTTTCTAATCATTTCACTAACAAAAGGCAGGTTTATAGACACCCGTCAGGTAGGTGCTACATTCCTACCATGTGTGTGAAATATGCCAATGACGATGTTCATTTCCTTGTAAAGATTACAGTGTGTGGTTTACATATTACAAAGAAGGTCACTAGCATGTCTAGGCATGTCGGGCAGACTAATACTAATTCTTACTCTATATTGACATACGTTATGGAGCAGTACATTTGAACATACATTATCAGATACATTATTAGATACATAATTAGATATATACATGAATTACATTTATAATAGGTAGTATAAACATAACAATATTACAAATGGTAAATATTGTAATGGGACTGGATTTGTCTTGGCATGATACACTGCTTCTATTTAAACTCCTATATTAGGAGAGTATCTTGGGCAATCTTAGAACTAACTTAAGATTTAATAGGCAATATCTATATTAGGTATTTTATGTTTACAGTTATTTGGGTGAGTGCATGTGTAAATTTGGGGGGAATTACAGATGTGGATGTGTTCATGAGCAATATCATATTAGGTATTTTATGTTACAGTTATTTGGGTGAGTGTATGTGTAAATTTGGGGGGAATTACAGATGTGGATGTGTTCATGAGCAATATCTATATTAGGTATTTTATGTTTACAGTTATTTGGGTGAGTGCATGTGTAAATTTGGGGGGAATTACAGATGTGGATGTGTTCATGAGCAATATCTATATTAGGTATTTTATGTTTACAGTTATTTGGGTGAGTGCATGTGTAAATTTGGGGGAATTACAGATGTGGATGTGTTCATGAGCAATATCTATATTAGGTATTTTATGTTTACAGTTATTTGGGTGAGTGTATGTGTAAATTTGGGGGGAATTACAGATGTGGATGTGTTCATGAGCAATATCTATATTAGGTATTTTATGTTTACAGTTATTTGGGTGAGTGTATGTGTAAATTTGGGGGGAATTACAGATGTGGATGTGTTCATGAGCAATATCTATATTAGGTATTTTATGTTTACAGTTATTTGGGTGAGTGTATGTGTAAATTTGGGGGAATTACAGATGTGGATGTGTTCATGAGCAATATCTATATTAGGTATTTATGTTTACAGTTATTTGGGTGAGTGTATGTGTAAATTTGGGGGGAATTACAGATGTGGATGTGTTCATGAGCAATATCTATATTAGGTATTTTATGTTTACAGTTATTTGGGTGAGTGT